GCCTGGCAAATGGTACTCTATGAATTAACTTTCTATGATCAGAAACTTGGAAATTATCTACAAAATTCCCTCTCCTATAACCTGCAAGGCTGAGAGATCACCAGTTTCTGTTGTTTTTATTAGGTTGAACCATATGAAATTGTCACTCTAACTATTTTGGCCCCCAAATGGCAATTTTACATGAATCAACCTAGTACATCATTAATGACTGGTCAAGCCATAACCTCTTCTCTTCATCCCTTCAACAAATTCTTGGTTAAAAAAACTTTACTGTCATTTGGATTCCTGCAACTATCTCCTAGAGGTCTTCCTACCATAGTCAGCCATAGTCAGGCCTTCTTCCAAGTCATCTTCCACAGATCCTTACAAAAATGCTACTATGACATTCCCTGCTTAAAAACCTCTAAAGAGATCCCCATAGCCATGAAGACAAAGTAGTTTCTTCTTAAACTGAGTATACAGTAGGATATCCTGGGCCTGCTTAAATGCACTTCAGCTCCTACCACTCCCATACTCAGGGCTGGCTCCTACTGAACTCTTTGTGGGCGTCTGAACAGATAATATCCTTTAGCCTATCCTGTGGAATGTTCTACCCTCCAAATCTCCAAACCCTTATTTACTTCTCATTCACCTGTCAAAATCATCTCTGTTGTGACATGATCCAGAAAGCCTTCATTCCCATTCTCCACACACACACATATACACCTTCCAGCCCAGGGCAGAGTCATGGCCCACAGGTTTATCTCATATCCTGCGCCGTGCTCAGAGTATACAGCTTTATCATATCAGACACAAATCTTGTTTTGTTATGTGCTGAATTGTGTCTTCACTAATTCCTATATTGAAACTCTAACCTCCAAATTCTCAGATTGTGACTTTAAAGAAATAATGATTACATTAAAATGAGGCCATTACGTGTGAACTCTAATCTAACTTAACTGGTGTACCTATAAGAAAGGGAAACTAGGATATACAGAGAAACACTAGACGTGCACGTGCAAGAGGGATGACCATGTAAAGAGGCAACAAGGCAGTGGCCATCTGTAAGTCAAGACCATGGAGAATGGGGCCAGCAGGTGGCATAGTGGTTAAGGCTCTGGCCTCCCATATGGTCAACCACTGTTTTGGGTCCTGGATTTGGTGGCTTAAAACTCACACCAGTTGCATGTGCATGTGTGCCCAAAATCATGAAAGGAGAATGGAGAAGGGATTGTGGCATGGCCATCACCCTGCCCCTGGGGGGGGTGTGTGTGATTTATCACTTTCTGCATCTCTGTCTCTCTGTCTCTCTGGAGAGTGCATGCACCCTATAGCAAAAAAAAAAAAAATAGACTACAGAGGAAATCTACCCTGCTGGCAACTTGATCTTGGACTTCCACCCTCCAGAACTGTGAGAAAATAAATTTCTGTTGTTCAAGCCACCCAGTCTGAAATTTTATTGTGGCAGCTCTAGCAAACTAATAAACTTTCTTCACTAAACTGCATATTTCTTTTACATTTGTTTTAATTGCCAAAGGGTGCAAGCACTCACTAGAGAAAGGAGAGGAGAGGGAGAAGCGCCCCTCAGTGAAGTGTGGTCATGCTGCAATCCCTTCTTTTCTACTTCTCCATCCTGGTAGGATCTAAGGCATTCTCCTCCTTCCCCCAAATATGCCTGACATGTTTTCTCAAGTCACGAGATATCAACTGTAGTCGGCCATGTGGGATCCATTTCCTTAACTATTAGGCTAAGGGGTCAGCCTAAACTGTACATTTCTTATGTGCAAGTACCACATCTCATTCATCTTTGTATTCACAGAGCTCAGAACAGAGCCTGGGTTTAAAAAATGATAAGTCAGTAAGGGAATGACAACATTGCAACACTACATAGAGAAGTGGAGTAAGCTAAAAAAGGCATCTATTTGATGAAAAAGCAAAACTCTGGAATCAATACACTTCCCCCAAAGTTCAACAGTTGAAATCACTGGTTAAACTATAATACTATACAACAGTTTTGATTCAACAAAGGATTTCCAAGCACCAGAGAATGGTTACTTTATTTAGAACCATCACTTAATACACCTAATCCCCAGGACAGCCAAGGTTCGTTGTTTTGTTTGTTTATTTGTTTGTTTTGTTGTTGTTGTTGTTGTTTTCTCCCCCAGCTATTTTACTAGGACCTGCTCTTCCAAGGCTAGGGACTCTCACTTAGCTCAGTCCCATGACTCTAGTCTAATGGTCTCCTATTAGCTTTACAAAATTAATGTACCTCCTAACCACCTAATTTACTATCAAAGAGTGTTCTGGACATTGGAGAGAACAGAGCTCATTAAAAATTAAAATTTTCCAATCTCCTTATATAAACATTTATTTATAAAATATGCCTGAACATAAAAGTTTTAGGGTCCACATGCAGAATAGATTGGTAATAGAAAAGCTATCATAAAAGGTACATATCAATTTCTACCTCTTGCCCAGATTCATCAGTTTGTAGACATCTTGCCAATAATATACCCTTCGTCAAGTTGCAGTCATCTCCAAAACTCTCATGACCCTACTGCCTGTAAGATCCAGTCCAAACTTTTGGCCTAAAACATTGGGTTCTGTATACTCTGGTTCCAACTTAAATTTCCCAAGCAGTTAATCTAATATGCTTTAATACTAACCATGTTCATCATCCATTTGACTGACTCTTTGGCCATGAGTGGTCCATATTCTTTAACTCTGGGCCTGTCTCCTAGTATAGACTCCTCAGAAAGCCCATCTGACCTTCCCTTTCTAGCTATCTTTCTGAAGTATTTCCATTCCCCTCCACGAGTTTTCTATTTCTTATTCTCCCTACTTTGAACTTTGATAGCCCTTAATACCTGTTGATATTACTGTTTATCGATTGCTTTGTAATATTTGTCAACTGTACTGATGTCTTTGGCTTATCTCCTGAAGATCTTTGTGTTCAAACAGCAACTCAGCACCTTGTGCTCAGTGTTTCTTAGTAATTATCCACTGAGATGCTTTGACCATGTCAGGAATCTCTTAGTTCTCATCATAGCTGCCCCTCCATATCTTAAAGTGAGAATAAGTAGCTAAACTCAAGCTTACAGACTAATACCAGCCCCTGCCATCCCTAGATTCTCCTTTGGGGGAGAAACTCCTTTGCTTACTTCCCAAAACAGTCCTGATTACAATGGCAGCACTTAGTAATAGAGTCACAATCTTCTGCTGGTAAAGTTTCTGATTACTCTGAAGCTTGCTTCTACAATGTTTGCAGTCTCTACAACTGAGTTTCTGCTCTCACCCAGCATTTTGGGGCTGGAGTCCTGTGCTCTATAGTTCAGTCTTCTTAGGGTCTAGATCTTGATGCTCAATGACTTGTCATTAGTTAAGGCCATGTATAAAAGTTAAAAACTACCTGAACTATGATGCCACCAGCCACCCTTAGAGCACTGCCATTGACTTGCTGTGCCTCCCCCCCCACTTCCACCACCATCACTGCCACCATCACTACCACCACCGCCACCAGGTTGGACAACTGAAATATCAGCTATCCCAGACCGAACAGGCCTGCTGGGTACTGGGATCTAAATAATTTGCCAAACCTCTTCCCTGCCCAAAGACAAGCCCCTCACCCAGGTTAATCCCTCTACCTGCATCCCCTGACAGGTTCCAGCTTTCACACTTTTCCCATTTGTCCAGTGGCACCCCAGAATGCCTCTGAATCAGTGCTTGAGAGTAAGGACAACGGCTACAAAGGCTAAGTTTCTCCTATTTGAAGAAGTGGGGGAACCAGTAGTTAGCGTAACGGCTATGTTGCTGGACTTCCATGTAGTCGACCGCAGTTCGCGTCCCGGACCCGGTGGCTTAAAACTCACGCCGGGCATGTGTGCGTGCGTGCCCAAGATCCAGAGAGGAGAATGGAGGAGAAGGGATTGCAGCGTGACCAACACCCCTGGGAGGTGAGTTCTCGCTTTCTGTCTCTCTATCTGTCTCTGTCTGTCTGGCGAGCGTACACGCCCTATAGCGAAAAACCTCTCAAAAAAAAAAAAAAGAAGTGGGTCAAGAAATACGCAATAACCCATTAACATGGAAATTCCTCTCTCTAGACTGTAAGCTCTTGGTGGCACAGTCACTGTCGTACTCATCTCTTTCTGTATTCTGGGCTTCTGAACTTTACTAGGGACTCAAAAATACACATTTGTTGTGTGAATGGAGAGATGAGCACAAGTGATGTATGGCTCCAACGCTGTTTAAATTTCAGACTATGTTTTCTTTTTTGTTTATTTATTGTTTTGAGATCAGAATTTTAAGTTGAGGACAAAAAAATCTCATCTCCTGAGGCAACAACACGCTTTTAGGTTAATCTCCCTGAAATTTTGTGCCTGAAGCTGATGGTAAAGGTTCTCTCTAGTAAGAGACATGAGATAAAACAGACAAGAGGGAAACAGACTTTAGAGGGATTATTTTGAAAATATATTTTGTTATCTTAAGACAAAGTTGCCAAATGTATACAAAGGTACTATTATCATTATTTATTGTTTATTGATATGTGATACAAAGTTTTTTCGGGCCTTCGAGACTATTATCAGTTTAATTTGAATCCACAAAATATTTATTAAGTGCTCAATGGAAGTATTACGACATGAGACAAATGTCTCTTTTTTTTTTAAGAAAGATTTTTGCAACAGGGCACACGCGCTCACTGGAAAGACAGAGACAGAAAGTGAGAAATCACCCCCTTAGGGGGATGATCGTGCCAGAATCCCTTCTCCATTCTCCTCTCTGGATTTTTGGGCACCCACTCATGCATGCCCAGTATGAATTAAGGAATCCGGTCTGGGACTCTAACTGCAGTCAAACCATGTGGGAGTACAATGCCTTAACCACTACGCCACCGGCTGGCCCCCAAATATCTCCTGTTAAAGCGCTCATAATCTGAGCACCAAAGTCAAGCCTTTATGCCTGGAATAAACAAGCCCAGAAGCTGCTCAGTGATTTCTGAAGATTCCAAAGGAGGTTTCACTCACCAGCACAATATCCCACGAGGTTGAGGAACTGCTCTTCCTTGCAGCTGGTCTTGCAGCTCCCACTGGTAAGAGTGACATGAGGGTGACAGGAGATACAATCAGATTCCAATGGCCCATGGCACTGCCTGCAGGTTGGGTGGCATTCTGTCAGAAAAAATAAAAACCAGGATGGGAATTAGCACATAGCATACAAATGCTCCAAGACTTCAATGCCTATTGTACATTACATTAAGAGAAGACATCAAGCTCTAAACACTCTGGAATATTCCTGAGCAAACCTAGCATACCCTTAGACCTGGCCAAGAGACTGCCTTTTTGGTGATAAGAATACTGTCTGTGAATATAATATAGGATCTTAAACTATAAAAATTTGAGTAAATAATCAGACATCCTAGAGGAATCAGCATTCCATCCCCATCTGTGTGAATAACGACGTTCAAATCAGAGTCACGAAGCAGAAACATGAGTGGTAGGACTCTCCCACCCTAAAATACAATGATTCAAAGGGAGAGCCAGAGAAAGAGAATAGAGAGACATCTCACTTTCCAGAAATTCCTGGCAGACCAAGGGGGCAATACCCAGCAAGTGATATGAAATTTCTCACTAGAGTCAAATGATGACAGCCACTTTCCCTCCAGGACACCACCTGAATGCTTGTCTTATCAGCAATACGTAATTAAAATGCAAAAAAAACAGTGAAGTCCTCTTTCTGGAGGTTATCGTGAGCTGTGTCTGAAGCTCAATTCCTTAGACAAAGTTAGGTCGAAGCTATCTATGTATTCCCCAGAAAACCACCAAATTAACAAGAGGTAGTACACAGAAAAAAACACAAGTGAGTCACGGTGAGGTGTAAGCAATACAGATAAGGATGGCAGGGAATCAAAGAAGGTGGCAGCTGTGGCTGCATGGATGCTGCCAAACAGGCAGCAGGCACAAGCCTGTGAAGGCTGAAAGATTCCTCTGCCAAGGAGGAGGAGGTCTAAGCATGTCTGATTCCACGAGAAGGGGAAGCAAGGGACTGGAGCTGGGCAGAGCTTGCTGGAACTGATTAATTCCCTTCTGGCACAGGGCTGCTGGAAAGCAAAGGCACAGATTTCTAGTAAAATCAACAGTCTCTTACTTTTGGCCAAAGGCCAGGAAAAGTTAAGGCATATTTAGAAGAAAAAAAAAAAAAAAGGGCAAGCAAGAAAATGAACTGCTGATTAGAAGGATAGAAGGATAGCACTATCACCTCCTTTGCATTCCTGAGGTTCTCAACTTTGCAAATGCCTATCCAGGAGATACCAGCACTCTCAGAATGACGCCGACCACCCAGTTCTTCTTCCCTATAGAATATTCCCATAACCTGGTGCCCGCTCCTTGTGGTGCCATCCATCCTCTGGCTTCAAGCAGATGAAGGCACGGGCAGAGAAGAATGAGAGCCTCTCAGACTTTCCTCCTCTAAACAATTTTACACACCTAAAAACCAGCTGTGCTAGGATGAAAGCACCTAAGGATAGAAACAGCTTTCAAGGACAAGCTTCCGAACAAAGAAATCAGGAACATTTCCCCCACTGAGCTTGATAGAGTGTTTAAAGTAAAGTAACTCACCAGGTGCCCAGAGAGATTAAAATGGTACTTGGAAAAAGAAAATTCCAAAATAAAAATAATATTTAGCTTCAATTGTCTATATTTTTATTCATTCTAAATTCACTCTTCAGAGTTTAAAGCCAGATGAAGCTAAAACACATTAATTTATTTTAAAAGTATTTTATACATTTACTACCTGTTTTCTGACTCCAGAAATACATATAATACAAGTTCAAAATAATAGGCTTTTTCTTATCAGCTAGCTTCAAAGATCTATTTTTAGAAATAAAAATAGAATCATGATAGAATGTGTTTTGTCTCCTCCCCCCAAGTAAATTAAAAAAAAAAAAAAACACACAGTGCTATAATAACGTGCTTAAATTTTAGTATATTGTCAATTCCTGTACTAATCGCAACTAGTTATTTCCAGAATCTTTGTCACTGAAATACCAAGGTGTTCTAAAAAACATACTGAACTGGGGCCAGCAGGTGGCGTGTTGTATAAAGGTGCTGGATTCCCACATGGCTGACAGCGGTTCAAGTCCAGGACCTAGTAGTTTACTTTCTCACTTTCCCTTCCTCTCTCTCTCTGTTTCTGCCTGGTCAAATTAAAAAATAATAATAACAAATGGAATTAAATTTAAAAAAAAATGAACTAACGTGTCAGAGGAAGAAATAAATAAATCTCTCCTTTTGCTCTGTTCTACAGCCAGGGGAACCAGGGGAACCAGGACTAAGAATTGCACAGAGTTACCTGTGCAAATGCCTGACCCTATACAAATACATTAGCATCTGTGGTAGCTTGTCTCTACAATGATCACCATCAGATTCGCCGCCCACTGAGGGTGGAGTCTATTCCTTCAACCTCTCAAATCTGGTCTCTTTTGGTCTAGCCAATAGAACATAGCACAAGTGATAGAATGACTTCTGAAGCCTGGTCCTAACAACTTGTAGCTTTTGTTTGAGCATCTAAAAATACTCTTCAGGGAAAGACAGTTAACATATAAGAAGTCTGACTAGCTGAGACTACCATGTTGTGGTACTACCATGTTGAGCCACAAGAAGAGACCATGGAATAAGAGATTTGTGACCAATCCCTGTGAATTCATGTAGAGAATAACCTATCTACAGGATCCCAGGGAGAACCACCCAGCTAAGCCCATCTAACCTCCAGAACAGGGAAAGACAATAATTAATTGTTTTCTGCCACAAGTTTTGTGTGGTTTGATAGGCAGTAATAGCAGTATGTTGTTAATTGAGAAAGATAAAGTAAAAGATCTCCCTAGGATCCCTGAATCCCCACATTTTAAGTCCTTCCTCCATTTTCCATATAAAAAGGAATAGAATGGTATGTAGTCATGAAAAGTATATGTACATGAGTATATGTATATAATTTTTCATGACATTGGGAACTGTTTATGATTTAATATTTATTTAAAAAATAGAAAAAATGTCCCAGATCTAATTTGTTCTTAACTATGTAACAGTGTGTGGAAAGAGATAATTAAAGGATGAATTTAGGGGGACCAGCAGTTAGCGTAATGGCTATGTCGCTGGACTCCCACATAGTCGACCACGGTTTGTGTCTCAGACCCGGTGGCTTAAAACTCATGCAGGGTGCGTGTGCGTGCGTGCCCAAGATCCCGAGAGAAGAATGGAGGAGAAGGGATTGTGGCATGGCCATCCCCCCTGGGGGGTGATTTCTCACTTTCTGTCTCTCTGTCTCTCTCTCTGCCCTATAACAAAAACCCCTCAAAAAAAAAAAAAAAAGGATGAGTTTATTTTGGTGCAAAAATACTGAAATCCATGCTTTCTTTTCATAATACAAAATTGTTCATAAACGTTTTGAAGACCTCTCATACATCACTAGCTTAAAAGTTGTTGCTTTTGGGGCTGGCAGATGGCGTGGTGATTAAGGGTGCTGGATTCCCACATGGCTGACAGCAGTTTGAGTCCTGGACCTGGTGGTTTGCATTCTCACTTTCTCTCTCTCTGTCCCTCTCTGGTCAAATTAAAATAAATAAATAAGTAAATACAGTCAAATAAAAGAATTCTTTCTCTTTTTTTAGAGAGATTTTTGCTATAGGGTACATGTGCTCACCAGAAAAACAGAGAGACATAGAGACAGAAAGCGAGAAATCACCCCCCCCCCAGGGAGGATGGCCACGCCGCAATCCCTTCTCCGTTCTCCTCTCGGAATCTTGGGCATGCATGCACATGCGCCCGGCATGAGTTTAAGCCACCAGGTCCGGGACTCGAACCATGGTTGATTATATGGGAATCCAGCAACACAGCCATTACATCATCTGCTGGTCCCTCAAATAAAATAATTCTTAAAAAAAAAATTATTGCTTTTGAGATATGGGATGATAAATGATCCCCACCCATAGACCCCCCATGTTTTTTTCCTAATCTGAGCTTTCAAACATTTTGTAATGAGCACATAAACTTTCATAATCAGAAACATAAACTTTTAAACTTTAAAAAGAACCACATAAACAAAAAGTTATGTTGAACTGAGTTCCAGTTCTCGGAGAACATAAACATCATTATTTCATCTAGGAGGAGGAGTTATCTACTCTGACCATGGTCTTTCCGTTAAAATAATAATAATAATAATAATAAGTTCAGGAAATTTACTCAAGTATTACAATTTTTTCAGGGTAAAGTTGACTGTACTTTTATACTTCACCTATGCTTTCTTGTTGGAGTAAGGAAATTTCTCTGTCACCTTTGCTCTAGACTTTGGCATGTGCAAGTTCAAGACAAATATTTATAGCTCCAACTGAGACCTGGGATGACAAGGTTTCTAATTACACGGTCTGGGTACACTGTGAAGACGGTGCAGGCAGAGGCATGTGCCCAGCATGTTACATACTCACCTGCACAACCACCCTCCTGGGTAAAGTAGCCATCTGGGCACTGGGAGAAGCACTGCCCATCCAGCAGCACGTGGGAAGGCCTGCAGACTGTGCAGTTCTGTGGGCTCTTCCCGGCACACTGTAGGCAGGATTGGTGACAAGCTGGGAGAAAGACAAAGCAGAGGACGTAATCAGGAAAGCCCCACGTGATGCGAACGGCAGCTCTGTCTTTCCTGTGAACATTTCTGGGTAGGCATATGTTCTGCACATTCGCTTGGTTTTCCGAAGGCCAGGGCATAGATATCACATACTTCTTTATTATTATTTTTTTAAGGTCATGATCACTTTTTTAAAAAGAAAATTACTTATGTGCTTATTTATTTATTTTTAAAAGTTTTCTATAGGGTGCATACACTCACCACAGAGAGACAGGGAGAGAGAGAGAGAGAGGGAAAGCGAGAAAGGAAGCCACCAGGCCTGGGACTTGAACCACAGTCAGCCATGTGGGAGTTTAGCACCTTAGCCACCACACCACCTACTGGACTCCCTCTTACTTCTTTTTAAAGGCAATATCCTGCAGAGCAAGCAGTTACAAAACCCAGATTCAATAGAGCACAAATACCACAAAACAGAAATAACCATCTGCAACATCATACACTTCTTTCTTCGTAAGTTCCCATTCTCTGAGAATGTCAGATAAAGAACAGGAAGCCATAAACAGTTCTTCCTCCCTCGGGAGAGCTCTCCCACTATCACTAGATACTGTGCTGCTTCCCAGCTGCTCAAATGAAAGAGAAAAGGAGTGACACTTTCCTTATGCCATGCCTACTCTGTGATGGAGACTGGACACACAGATGAGAAGATCTGTCCAACACTCTGAGCTTCACACTCTAGATGCAACAAGACACACGGCCGCTAATGGGAATACAGTGAACAGGAGAACCAGGACAGCACAGAAAATAAAGGCATCACATCGCAGCTCTATGTGACCTTGACTAAGCTATGCTTCCATCTGTAAAATGAGGATACAAACAGTGCACACTGCATGGGGCGCTGTGGTCCCTAATGGAACTGATGCACATGAAGTGCTTAGGATCATGCTAGATACACAGTAGGGACTTCATCTTAGCTGTAATTGTTAACAGTAACTGCTATGTTAGATGTACGCAAGGTAGGAGAGTTGGAAAAAAAAAAAAAAGCCAAGAGAAAAAAAGAATTATGCTTGCCTTCCTCATACCTTTAAGGCTAAAGGGATGTTTTAATTTACATCATTTCCCAAAGGTAGTCACTGTAGTAATCATGTCCTTTTATCTTCTGTACTTTGAACTCTGACATCTAGGACAAGGCTGATCCTACAGAGACTGCCTCTCTCCGGGCTACATATGTGGAGACAATAAATGATGGGTAAGTGATAGCTTAAAAGCATGTCTTTTACATGTAAACTAACCGAGCCAGAGCCCACATGCCCACTTCCTCCTTGTCAAGCTCTTACACTCTAAGCCATCAGACAACTGTCCCAGGGCCAGATACTAGACAGCCCCTACGTCCCACAGCTCACTGAAATTATTCCAACTAGCCCATCCTAAACCTGTTCACCCTGCCTCGCCTGGTCCCTCCCCACAGAAGCCACAGGAAAGGCTTCTGTCCACAGTTTCCCTTCATCCCTCGGCCTGATGGTTGGCCCTGGTGCTCCCCCAGTATGGTATGGTATGCCCCTTTTTCTTGGACCTGCGAATAGCAAATCCTGTTTTCAAGGGCAGTAGCCTCTGATGTGTTGATCTTACCCCTCCCGAATAATATTAAACCTGCATTTTAAAGCAACCAGCCATTTACTTCCAATCATTCACTTATCTCTTTGTAGGTCCAGGTGCTTGGGATGCAGTGATGAGTACCACAAAGACCTGGTTCTGGCCCATGCAGATGAGGCCATGCATTTTAGGCCATCTCCTGTCCGATGGACAAGATCCACCAATCTTCAAGACATGTCTCTGACTCTTCTTTATCAAATGCCCAAAAGATTTATAGGCTAGCAGGTTTGGAAGAACCAGACGTAATTTTCACACCATTGAGATCTTCATTTCTACCAAGCTCTAATTAAACAGAACACATACTTAGGAAGCAGATATTCATCTAGTGTGTCATGGCCCATCAGTACGGACTGTTAAAGTATTCAACTACTTCCACAGAACTTGGTATATGGCTATTGGCCTAAGTCTTCTAGTGCTCTACTGCTGCACTAGGCCCACCCATAACTCAGCACTTAAAGGTTTAATATCTGTACCAGGAGGTCTCAGGACCCTGCTCTAGCGCTGAGGCCAATGCCCATTCTCATTGCCCTTGCCTTGCTGGTTGAAATTTTTTGATGATCATCACCGAGCACACTGCAGAGCTTTATATACATTCAAAAGTATTTCCACTACATGAAAGACAGGATTTGAAACCTCATATTTTTTATTAATTTCCTTTTTTTAATTAAATGGGTTTTTCTGCAATTGCCTTGTAAACATTTCTGTTAGCACAAGTCAGAAATTTATTCCCAAAGTATTGTTGGAATCATCTTTTTAAAAAAATGAAACAGGCAAACTGATATTAAGTAAATATTACCATAAAAGAAAGGTAGAGGGACCAGCAGTTGGCATAATGGCTATGTCTCTGGACTCCCATGTAGTCGACCACAGTTCGAGTCCTAGACCCGGTGGCTTAAAGTCAGGCCGGGCGTGTGTGCATGTGTGTCCAAGATCCCAAGAGGAGGATGGAGGAGAAGGGATTGTGGCATGGCCATCCCCCTGGGGGATGATTTCTCACTTTCTGTCTCTCTCTGTCTTTCTGGCAAGTGCATGCGTCTTATAGCAAAAAAAATTCTAAAAAGAAAGAAAGAAAGGAAGGAAGGAAGGTATACACAGACACTTAGTTAAGACTTCTCTAATACAAAATTAAACAGCATGTAATGGAAAGTCACGTGACAATATTTAAAAGAAAACAAACAACAAACAGATAAAAATTATATTGTCAACACAAAGCTTTCCAGGATAATTTGAGGATCTAAGTTGAAACAACATAATATTTTTACATACCTAAATATACCTGTGATAATGCCAATATTTTTATATTATACTTTACAAGATTGCTAAAATCCCCAGCTCTTCCTGTTATATCTTCCTAAGAAATAGGAAAACAAACCATATCATTGTGGAATTGAAAGCTGGGTAAAAAATTAATTAATGTATTAGAAGAACATTTTATTTCGATCCATTTTGTTACAAAGTCAATATGATAGCCCGGTAGGATGTGATTAAGGGCATTATTAAATTACATAAAACAGGGGCCAGCAGATAGTGTAGCAATTAGGTCACTGGACTCCCACATGACAGACTGCAGTTTGAGTCCTAGACCTGGTGGCTTGAAAATCACGCCGGGTGAATGTGCATGTATGCCCCAAATCCCGGGAAGAGAATGGAAAAGAAGGGATTGTGGTGTGTCCAACCCCGCTCACCCCCCACCCCCAGGGTGATTTCTCACATTCCCTCTCACTGTCTCTGTCTCTTTTTCTCTGGCAAGCACACACACCTTAAGGCAAAAACCTCTTTTAAAAAATTATAGGGACCAACAGATGGAGTAATGGTTATGTTGATGGACTCCCATGTAGTCGACTGCAATTCGAATCCCAGACCCAATGGCTTAAAACTCAAGCTGGACATAGGTGCCCAAAGACCTGATAAGAAGAGATTGTGGTGTGGCCATCCCTCCTGGGGATGATTTCTTGCTTTCTGTCTCTCTCTGTCTCTCCACCAAGTGCATGCACCCTATAGCAAAATCTCTCTTAAAAAAAAAAATTTCATGAAACAGGAAAAAGAAAAAAAAAAAAAAAGGACATCCAAGTTGAAAAGTTGATAGGCCAAGAAGTCCCAGAGAAATCCCTACATCACCCACCAGATTTTAGAAATATATCCTACTGAACTGCAGATTTCAGAACTCCCTTCATCAGGAATGGCGAAGAACCAAATGGATAATGAGCTCGTTAGCTGCCACAGGCACAGAGGGGAGAGGTAGGCTGAGTGATGATCCTCCCAAAGTATCTTTTTCTCCATAATGCTCTGTTTCTATAAGAACAGGCATTTGCATCTGCATTTTTACAACAATCTCATGAAACTTCAATTCTGCACTAGTTTTGGAAATGTCTAGCCTATTTCAGCGACTTTTATGAGGCTTGATCATTCTATGGAGGCCGATTTCCTAGCAGGAGTCCTGTCTGCAGTCTAAGATCCTTCAAGGAAGACTAACTCCATTATAGGGCATGTACGGAAGATATCTAAAGAAATTTCTATGAATAATTCCTCCATGTAATACTATACTTTTAGAGACTGGTTTTCCAGTTGATGGCTAAGTATATTTCTGAAAAAGCATAACTGAGCTGCTTAAGCACTAAAAGTGTCAGCACTAAAAATGTCCTTAGATAGTAGTGAAGTCCAGCCAACCTGACTATGGCAAAAATTTGACCTAAAGCAATTAAAACATCAAATTTTGTTCTTCCCATTTAAATTTTCAACTACTGATACTATTCCTTCTTTTTTCTTTTTAGTAATAAAAAGAAGTGGCACAGCATCCATACTTCATATCATGTGAATTTTCCTGGCTTTTCATGTCAGAACAATTTTTGAGGTATGTTTCTCTCAAATTATGATGGAAATATCACAATCCTCTAGGTCATACGGGAAGGGTACCATGACAGCAATAAAAACTGGTATAAGCAAAGTCAAACAAAATTAATCTCCTCCTTTCCCTTACCCTCTTTTTACTTTTTCCTGCTCCTGTTGTTTTCTCTTTTTTTTTAGTGACCATGATTCGACATCCCCCTATCTTTCCCCTGCCCCTCTCCCTGAATAGACTGGGAACCCTAAAGAGTAAAAATCATGGGCCAGCAAGTGGTATAGAAGTGAAGGTGGCTGGATCCCACATGGCTGACTGCATGGTTTGAGTCTCAGACCAAGTGGTTTGAAAACCACACCAGGTGGGGCCAGCAGGAGGTATGGTAGTTAAGGCAGTTGACTCCCATATGGTCAACTGTACCTCGAGTTCTAGACCTGGCAGCTTGAAGATCATGCTGGACACATGTGCCTGCACAGTCAAAGTCCCAGGAGGAAAATGGATGATAAGGACTTATG